GGCCGTATATTAAAAAAAAAAATTCAGCGAATTTGCTGTAGCTTGTTTGTTCGGTAGGAAAATTCCAAAATGGCTGGGACAAAAACAATGAATATTATGAAAGGTATTTTTTTTTTTGCAATAAATATATTTATTACAATTTTTATTTTTGAAGAAATTACAATGAAGACCCATTCCGCAATAGAAAAAGAAGTAGAACAACGCTGCTCAGAGTGGCTACGGCATTCTAGTCAACGCCTGAAGAAAGGAAAAACAACGACAGTTTATAGTTTCTATGTCTTTTTTTAAGTGTAAATTATATTGTATTATTTTCGAATTAGGAAATTATATATAGGTATATTTATTTATTTATATTATGAATTTATATTAATTTTTGTATTTTATTACTTATTACATATTATATTTTTTCAAACATTGAATAAAATAATAATTTACTGTAGGCTCTAAATTTTACTCTCCATATCCATATCCCTAAATGGTAACTAGACTTTTTGAAATGCCTATTCATATCGCATAGATCATGTTAATAAAATATACTGAGAGTTATATGTTTACGATGTTGCGATATATACGTAACGTCTATGTCCATTTAATACGTTATATTGACGTTTAAAATAAAACGTAACAGATACATCAAAATATAGAGAATCTAGCGACATACTAACACAACGTTTTGATGATGTACCAGCGAGCACGTCCCTAGTCTGAAACAATGTGGATGTCACCAGTATGTTACAAGCATGGGTCACTGTTGATTACATTACATAGCACAGGGAAAGCAAATGTACGCAGTTTGGGATGTAACAGCTAACAAGATCGTAGACAGAGTTAAGTGGCATTAACATCGCTACGACGTAACTGTGTTTACTGGGATAGATTATTTACGTTGAAGACTTGAATCAAAGTAATTCATTGGAAGAAATAAACAATAACAACAAAAAACTAATAGAAAATACTCGAAACCAATATGAAAAATGCAGTGGTACATAATAAACATCAGGATAATGAACACCAAGAAACTGCAACAAAGACAAATGAGGAAAGAATAGAAAAACTAATCCCTCAAAATTAAGGCTGTGATTGGCACATCTAAGATGCTGTAGGGAATGCTGTTCAATTAACGTTTGCAAAAATATTTGCTAACAGTGAAGTCTATAGACAGAAATCTACTAGTAATACCATCTCGTAGAATCAAAGTGAAAAATATCATATTTTACCTAGTTGCTCTTTACAAAAAATGAACGAGCCTACTCCGGCAAAAAAAACTATTGTTTCATCATCCAAAACCAACCTAAATGAAGAATTTTTGTTTGAATTAAAAGCAACTAAACTTCCTAAAAAAATGATTCGTTGTGGGCGCCCTAAAGGTCACATGTCAACGGCTGTGGAAGTAAAAAGAAAAAAACAAACTTTTGGGGTTCCAGTAAAATACAGCTTAAAATCAGATTATGAAAAAAAGAAGTTGATCTTTGAATGGATTGGTTTATCTTACGAATCCACTATTAAATATACTACTTCCCATTTACCTACTGAGCCAAAATTAATCAAATCAGAATTTTTTTAAAATGAAGTGCATGTATCTTTAGTCCAAAAAGATTTTGCAGCACCCGGTTATTCTGCTCTACTTCGTTTTTTGATAACTGCGAAAAAAATCAAGAACTTGCACTGCAGAATTTGTAACAAGATGTCGAATGGAATCAGTACAAAAGAAATGTGCCAATATCAAGCGAAAACTGAAAGGTGATTGGTTTTGTACTGTTTACAGTGAAAGCGAGAATCTTTAGTATGATACTGAACACTTGGAGATGTTCTATTAATTATTATTAAACTATCTTTTTTTAGTTCTTATAATCTTCTTAAAAATAGTTCCATTGTTTTGTTTTAAAGTTTTTTTGAAAAAAAAAAAGTACAAAAAATAAAAGTTAAGTCTGTTAGCACTGTTTTGTTGTGTTTTGTTTCTTATGTTAATATACAGAGTGTTATTGAAAGGTACGTACAAAATAAAATCGGCAGTTGGTCTCGAAGTATGGGTGCTAAAAGTTACAAAAATTTCAGGTAAAAGTGTTCTCCTTTTAGAGATAAAAATTATTAAAATTTATGTCCAAATTCGTTGTACGCCTCTGATAAAAAGATCATCTCTCGTTTCTATAGCAACATTTAGTCTTGACAAAAGTTTTATTGTTACAGTTGCTAGGATTTACTAAAATAAATTAATTTTACCTATTTATCCTTCAGTAGCGTCTAAAAAGGTTGGATAAGGGTTGATTTTCCCCTTATAATTTTGACAACACAAAATAAGTTTTTTAGACTTCTTAGACTTCGTGAAGAACTGTCAATTTTGTTGTACGTACCTTTCAATAACACCCTACCTACCACTTAGTCTCTTGGATTTATTTCTAATGCCTGTTACGGTTTGCTTGTATTTGACATAATACAGCTTTTTCTTCTTTATCACTTATACCCATTTTGCGATTTATAGCCACAGATTTGTAAAAGCATAAGTATACCATATAGTTTTAGAAAAGACGTACAACGGTCGTAAAAATCATTAAATTTGAACTGGAGTTTGAAGGTAAATCGAAGATTTATGGCGCCAAAACCTTTCAACTTGTGTTAGTACGCCTAATTACTGAGTGATACCTATATACAAAATCTCTATCCATCTGATGATCTGATGATCATGAAATATTCAACGTAATCGAACTACAGATTATTCACAGTAAAGAGAGTAAAATGGTGTGAACAGATGTTTGTATCATTTGTAATGTGGACGTACCTACATGTGAGTATGAACAGCGCGCGTACTATTCATACACACTGTATGTACGATTAGCGCTGTAGTTATTCGTACACACCGTGTGTATCAATAGCTCTTGTACTATTCGTACATACTGTGTGTACGAATAGTCACTCCGATTTATAAATGCATTCTTTTCTAGTAATGTCTGTTTTCTTACTCTGTAATTTTTTCCGGATTTTCCACAATGGTAATTCATAAAAAGCGTCCAAGGTTTTTGCACTGAAAACATATATTTTTCTTTTTTACAATCTTCTCCATTCATTGTTCTTGTGCAGGGTGAATATAAATTTTTATTATTTGATTGTAATAGAACTAAATTGAAATCCAGAATTGAGTAATCATTATAGAATTTTAGGGTTTACGATTAAGGATGTTGTATTTATTTTTAATTATTTAGGAAAATTTTAGTGAATGTTGTATATTTATTCTTTTGTACTTCCAAAATATTTTCTTCGTAAGAGATACTAACCCCACCCACCCTCCCTTCTGTTTTCTTAAAGGGTATCTCATTTGCCATAATCACTTTTATCTTAGCAGGTATACTAGCCCCGCCCACCCACCCTCTCTTTTCTTGGAGGATATCTGATTTGCCAAAATCACTCTTATCTTATATTTTTTTAATATCCTGTTTGTATTAGGACTACCATTTATATAGTAATATGCTAACCAAAATTTGGATAATCATCCCCACCAACAATTTGATGACGTCATCTCAAAAGTGTCTACATAAAAATTATTTAAACATTATATTTAATTTGCCAAACCACAGAGAAATATTGAAAAGTCATTTTGACGAGTGTCTATTTTCAAATTTTCTTAGTGTTTCACAACTTGTAGAACACGAAAACGTCAGTCATCACTCAACAGTTTCCGCTTATATATGGTCTGCATAAGTGTCTGTCTAATAGCGATTGTGTTATACAAATAATAATTGTTTACACTACTAGACTGATGATTATACTGATTTAACATCGATTTTAAGATTATTGTATAATTGAAGAAAATTTGTTAGACATCATTTAAAATTTTACAAACTAAATCTCGTTGAAATTTATATTGTAACATGTTCTGTGATTTAATAATCAATCCACATTTTGAAAGACATGTTTTGTCAATATGAAAAAAAATTGGTGTAAGGTTATTACGACAGAACTTCCTTCGCCCCTGAAGTACAATTATAAAATTATATTTTTCGAAATATCAATTATACGCTAAAAAATTATGGACAATATTACCAGTCATAGTGTAAGAAAAAAAGTTGTCCATCAAGGGATTGAACTTTGCGTTATTAGGACGACTCTTCCTCGATTAACCAAGCGACGACTTGGACAGCCTTCTTATGCTTGTAGAAAATGCTATTGTGCAATTTTTATTTCTTTGCGAAAAACTGGGTGTCTAGGATAAAAAATCAAGGCGGATTCATTAACCACAAATACAGGAGCATGTTATTTACTATTACATTCTAATTTAAATAATTAGAATTAATTACATTATGTACTATGTTAGTCGAAGAAGAAATATCTACAATCTACATATAGCAACACGAAAACAAACCAATATGGATATGGTATTTGGAAAAACTGAGTCTTCTGGTGCTATTAGAAAACAGCATTGATTTCGCTCATTAAAGCTCAAACTTTTATTTTTTCTTGCCTCAAAATAATGAATTGAAAAACATTTGGCAATTTGTAACACCAAATATACTTGCATTGTACTTTTGGTCCTTCATTAAACCTATCGCTTTATTTACAGGAGTGTTAACCAAAGAAAACATTTTGTTTTAATTGCAGGTTTATTATGAAGCCGAATTATTTAGCAAAAAATTCGTTAATTGGGCATTGTTTGGCAGAAATTGGGACAACAGAATGAGAGATGAGAATCTTTCATTTGCGAGTACAGTTACCAGAGTGCATAATTAGCAAAAGCGTATCTTACTTGATTATACATGGCTCAAAGTTTCAATCTGCCTTGCACCGTTACTTTTCGTTCTACACTCTCAGGAGACAATACCTTAAAAATCGAAAATGAAATTCACGTTAAACTCAAATTCCCACATTCCATAGAACCAGAGCGCATGCATTCTGACAAAACTCGACGAACTCATTATTTTGTAAATACAACGATTAATTCATGTTATCAAGGAAAATGTAAAACACAACCATTCGAAACGTCCAACTAATTCCCTAAATCTCTTTTCCAGGTGCCTTGGAACAAATCATCTAATTCCTCTTCCTCGAGCTATTCGGCACCCACCTGCAAAAAAGAAAGCACGCCGACGACTTCAGCCAAAGTAAGAACAATCACCCGACGATTTATTTATATCTACAGTGGAAAAAAAGAATTGGAAGTGTTTTAAGTTCGTGTCTCATCGCTGCCAATTACCACAATTCATTAACAGCTTTAATGATGTGTTTTAAAGTCGGTATTTAGCGTCGTGGCGCCCCTTTGCGTAATAGGCATTCTTAGTGTGACTTTCAATAATGCCATTGTTGTATGTTGTTGCAGTACGATTCGGGCTTTGGCAAGAAGAAGCAAGAGGACGATAAAAGTGCCACCACGAGAATTGCCAACAAGTATGGCTCTTATGGTGCAGGCTACCAACGTGACAGCAGTGCGTCGGGTACGGTATATTCAACAGAAGTAAAGTTCTAGTTCTAATTTCCAAATGATAATTAATTTTCCGACTCTGATAATGTTATTAATAACATTTTAATTAGTGATGGACCACTGGACGCAATATGTGTTAAGGATCATCTGTAAGAAAATAAATGGTCATGTCGTGTACTAACGTTTAACATATCTATTGTTATCTGTTTCGACTTAAAATACAGAAATTGTTAGTAATTAAAATCTTTTGGAAAACAGACCAAAGAACAAGTAAAAAGAAAGAAAAAAATTGGAAAATTTAACAATTTTGAATTTGGTAGACGTTGACATCTAGACTGTTCACAAAGATTTAATAGCTGTTTTATGCATTACAAGTGAAATAAAACCATTATTACCCGCAAGTATGATTATAATGCGTTAACGTACGTATAACCTACAAATTTTTATCTATAACTTCAGAATTTTTTGTAAAATCAATTTCAGTAAATCAAAAAGATATTTTTATCTAAATTATCCCATTCACACGTGCTGTAATGCAACTCTTTACCTAACGCCAACGAGTGGGATAAATGAAATACGCCGAATTCAATCTCACAGTCCTAAAATTAACAAACTACGTGATAAAATGACGGTTACACATCCCTTAATTCTACCTTGAGTTATTCATTTCTGTTTGCCTGTTTATATTATTCAGAAATGTTTTAATGGAAATTGATAAATTAATACATTACGGAATTCAGGAAAATATACGGATTTATTGGAAAATAAAATGTAGTTACGCAGACAAAAATCAACATGAAAATCTATTTTGAACCATAAAATTTATTGTAGCTATTCTAGCTTACTGGAAAATAAAGCCCGTGTTTATTTTTAAATGGAATCATAGAAAAGCAAGAGTCGTTGAACATAAATTATTTCATAATATTTTTGAGCATTTGCAGTTAATACAATTTATTGAAACGATTATAAGATAAATGTTATCAAGCTCACATATTTTTTTCCTTTGCTTCTTAAAATTATTTAGGTAATTGACTGATTAGTGAATGTCTTGTTGAATAAAATTAACTATAATTTGGTGTTTCTAAGCAAAATTAATAGTTAGGCTGTGTTTCCCCGACCATCACAAAAAAAAAAACGATTAGTAAGCTTCTTAAAATTATGTAATTAAATAACTGATTAATATGTCTTCTTAATTATAACTGGCTAGATTGGGGTAATTAATTAAAATTGATAGTTAATAGTTAGTAATTAAAAGTGGTTAATTACAAGTATACTGATGTTTAAGTATGATTTACTTAAATTAACGAACTAATATTTAAGGACAATTTAAGGGAACTAGGGAACTTAACTAATTAGAGTACCAGTTAGGTCATTGTTGTAATTAATTGTCCTTAATTAAATATGTAGAATAATATACATGCGAATATATTGTTATTAAGCTTCTTAAAGTTATTTAGTTAATTAACTAATTATTCATTGTTTCGTTCAACAAAATTAATTATAATTGGGTGTAATTGGCCAGAATTAATAGGAGTAGTTAATAACTAACAGTAATTAAAAGTTGTAATTTCAAAAAGCCTCACTAAGCATTAATTTAGTAAAACAGGTACTTAAGGCCTAATATTTAAGAATAATTCAAGGTAATTGGTTATTATGAACCTTAACTATAATTTGGAGTAACTAACCAAAATTAATAGTTAATAACTAACAGCAATTAAATGTTGTTAATACTTGTTATCCATGTTGAATTGCTAAATAACTTAAGCACTAATATTTAAGAATAATTGAAGATAATTAGGTATTATGAACCTTGACTAATTACAGTCAAAATTATTGTAATTCAATGTACTTAAATTAATTATAACTAAAACTTCGGAATAATATATGTACATACGGTTGTGTTGGGGTATACATGTTTTTAAAAAAACGATTATTAAGCTCTTTATAACTTAGCTGGCTAGAATGCGGTAATTAATTAAAATTGATAGTTAATAGTTAGCAATTAAAGGTGGTTAATAACAAGTACACTCATGTTTAAGTATGCTTTACTAAAATTAATATATTACGAAGTAAGATTTAAGGAGAATTAATGGTAACTAGATATTATTAAATTTAACTAATTAGAAGCGCCAGTTAGGTCATTGTTGTAATTAATTGTGTTGTAGTGTTTGTATTGCAATATACATATTTTTCCGCCAGTAACTTAAAAAAAATATATTGTTATTAAGCTTCTTAAAGTCATTTAGTTATTTAACTAATTAATCATGGTTTTGTTCAACAAAATTAACTATAATTGTGTGTAATTAACCAAAATTAATACGAGTCGTTAATAACTAGCAGTAATTAAAAGTGGTTAATTCTAAAAACCTTACTAAGCTTTAAAATTAATTAATTAATTAATTTGTTAATGAATGTCTTTTTATTTATAACTGACTCGAATGAGGTAATATACATGACAATTTTTCCATTTGTGAATTTAAAAAAATAAATTGTTATTAAGCTTCTCAAAACGATTTAGTTAATTAACTAATTAATTAATGTTTTGTTCAATAAAATTAACTTTAGTTGGGTGTAATTAAGCAAAATTAAAAGTATATAACTAACAGTAATTCAAGGTTGTTAATTCTGGAGTAACAATATTTAAGTATAATTCACCAAAACAAATAAATTAACTAATATTTAAGAATAACTGAAGGTAGTTATTAAATAGTTGTTATGAAGCTTAACTAATTTAGTCAATGGTTAATTTATTGTTGTAATTAATTATATATAAATAAAACTAAGTGATAATATTGGTACATGTGCTTGTGTTGAGGTATACATATTTTCCGACCATAACGTTAAAAAGTTAAATTCCTACTATGCTTATTAAAATTGTTAATAAATTAACTAATTAATGAATGTTAAAGTTCAAAAAAATTAATTAATTGGGTGTAGTTAAAGGATGTCAATTGTAAAATAACCAGTTTTAATTGTAATTTATCAAAACAAATTACTTAAAGACTAATATTTAAGAATAGTTGAAGGTAATTGGTTATGATGAACCTTAACTATAATTTGGAGTAACTAAGCAAAATTAATAGTTAATAACTAAGAGCAATTAAATGTTGTTAATACTTATGAAGTGAACATATTATTAGTATCCATGTTGAAGCGTAATTTGCTAAAACTAATAATTTAAGCACTAAAATTTAAGAATAATTCAAGATAATTACGTATTATGAACCTTAACTACTTACAGTCAAAATTCATTATTGTAATTCATTGTACGTACTTAAATTAATTGTAACTGAAACTGGAATAATATACATGCGGTTGTGTTGGGGTATACATGTGTTTTCCCGACCATAACAAAAAAAAAACTGATTAATATGTCTTCTTAACTTAACTGGCTAGAATGAGGTAATTAATTAAAATTGATAGTTAATAGTAAGCAATTAAAGTAATAACTTATGAACTAACATTTAAGAACAATTAATGGGAACTAGATGTTATTAAACTTAACTAATTAGAAGTACCAGTTAGGTCATTGTTGTAATTAATTGCCTCTAGTTAAATATGCGAAATAATATACGTGTGATTGTATTGGGATATACATAATTTTCTGCTTTAAAAAATATATTGTTATTAAGTTTCTTAAAGTTAATTTAGTTAATTAACTAATTAATCATTGTTTTGTTGAACAAAATTAATTAGAATTGTGTGTAATTAACAAAAATTAATATGAGTAGTTAATACATAACTAGCAGTAAGTAAAAGTGGTTAATTCTAAAGGCCTTACAGCTTTAAAATTATATAGGAGAGTAATTAATTAATTTGTTAATGAATGTCTTTTTAATTATAACTGACTCGAATGAAGTTAAATTGACAGTTAATAGTTGTAATTAATTGTATACTGTTATTGAGTTTCTCAAAACAATTTAGTTAATTAACTATTAATTAACTTGTATCTGAGCTTGGATCTGCATGTGTTTTTTCTGGCCATTACAGGGTGTTATTGAAAGGTACGTACAACAAAATTGACAGTTCTTCGCGGAGTCTAAGAAGTTTGAAAAACTTATTTTGTGTTATCAAAATTTTAAGGGGAAAATTAACCCTTATCCAACCGTTTTAGACGCTACTGAAGAATAAATAGGTAAAATTAATTTATTTTAGTAAAACCTAGCAACTGTAACAATAATAAAAAATAAGAAACCCTTTTCTTGCGATAGAAACGAAAGATGACCTTTTTATCAGAGGCGTACAACGAATTTGGACATAAATTTTAATAATATTTATCTCTAAAAGGAGAACACTTTTACCTGAACTTTTTTTAAATTTTAGCACCCATACTTCGAGACCAATTGCCGATTTTATTTTGTACGTACCTTTCAATAACACGCTGTATAAACCAAAAGATAACTAAGCTTTTTAAAATTATGTAATTAATTAGATAATTAAATTTTTGGTACAATTGATTGGAATGGGCTTATTAAGCAAAATTAATAGTTGATAGTTGATAGTTAGTAATTAATGGTGGTTAGTTAAAAAGAAGATAACTTATGAACTAATATTTAAGAATAATTAAAGAGAACTAGCTATTATTATATTATTAAAATTAGAAGTTACGGTTACGTCATTATTGTAATTAATTGTAATTATCCAAATGTGGCAGTAAATTAATGACTAAATAAGAGTAGTTAACCAAAATTTTAATAAACAAATAAATGAATAATGAGTAAATAATTCGAATTATATAGGAACAATTTAACTAAACATGTAATTAATATTCATTACATAACTTAATTGTAATAATGCGTCAATAGAAATTGACACGTAATAACGAATTTTTTGATAGTTATGTAACTAGTACATGAGCAGATTATCTCCTGATCCCTCGCATATTTATGCCCTCGACTTGGCCTCGTCCACTATTATTCATAATTTTGTATTAGTGAAAAGGCGATTTTTTAGCAAAAATTAATATTTTTTTAAATTTTTGCACAAAAATAGAATTGACCTTGATTATTTATGATTACTTTTAGACAAGCAAGCGATTCTTTTCCCCACCACTTGCATAAATGGCCCTTATCCAAATATCAAACGTTCCAGAACAAATAATACCGTCCAAACAATGAACGCAATGTTTTTTCAACCTATTTATATATTTTTTTCTTTTTTATATTTTGTTCTCAGTAGCCAATGAATTTTAATTGGACTCTTTCAAGACAAGTATATTCTTTAATCAACTTCTTCATCGGCTACTAGAGAAGCAACTTTTGTAGCTTAAAAATCACGTACTATAATAAAAACATTTTTAGGTTCCTATTCAAACCGGCTCAAACCGTCCCTGGAAAAGAAGGATGCAACCAGTCACCCTCCCGTCTCCTACAGAGGACTCTCCCGCACCACCCCCCGCTCACGTGACCCCAGCCCTGACAAAAGTTCGTCGTCATCCCTCAGTTACAACTACAACAAACTTTACCCCACTAGACCCTACACCCGCTCGGCAAGCAGAGAACTGGAACCTCCTACCACAATTCCAAAATATGCAGGACGGTCATCTCTTAACAAAGATGAACCTTTAAGTCGACGCTCGTCAATCAGTCGTGAGGACTTAACCCCAGCGGCGTTAAAGTACGGCGGAAGATCTTCCATCACCAAAGACGATGTAGTGTCCAAATACAGCGGAAGGTCGTCGATCACGAAAGACGATGTTCCCAGATACTCGGGACGATCGTCACTTAATAAAGAAGACTTGGTTCCTAAGTACAGTGGAAGGAGCTCTTTGACGAAAGAGGACTTATTAAAGTACAAACCAACGAGTCGGGCGCCGTCTCGTGAGGATTTGTCGCTATCTTCAGGGTCTCAGAAGTACATAAATAGTAGGTTTCTTCCGAAAAATAGCATAGAGAAGAGTTACACGGCGTATAGTAGACCGTCTTCGATTAGATCTCATGAAACGATTAGGAAAAATAGGGAGTTACTTAATGCTTTACATGCTCAACAAGACCAGGAAAGGACGAGTCGACCAAGTAGTCGATGTTCGTCTATTACTCCGGATGACCGTGGTGTGAAATCTCCACCGCCTCTCACACCTCCAGAAGAGGAAGAAGTTGCTTTTGAAACGGAAACAGTTGCTACAATTACAAGAGGAACTTCTCCTTCTCCCACCACTTCCAACATTGCTAGATCTCGCCGTACCGACATTGCTAAGACTGTTGAAAAACAAGTGACTCGTCCCAAACATCGCATTGGCATCGACAAAGAAGTCCAATCAGATCGTCTAGATGACACCACCAAGTCTTCTCGATTTTCAGGATCGTCCAGGATGACAGCCACCCCTTGGACTAATTTCCTCGATATGAAGTTTTCAAGTCCTAATGATAAACCAACTAAAAAGGGTGATACAAGTCCGAAAACCATCTCGAGGAACAACTCCAATAAAAGTTTGAGTCAAGAGAAGAAGTCTCCGCCGAAGACCAAAGCATCCCCTCCAAAACAAGCGCTTCCTCCTCAAATCCCCAAAAGCGATAGTTCAAAATCAACGTCCTTACATTCCATAAACACAACGAACAAAGATTTTAGAAAGTCAGTACTGAATATGTGTACTGAAGGTGGTACGAAAAAGAAAGTTGGGAGGAGGAGTAACTCTGGAAGTTCTGCTGAATCGGAAACGGATGTACAAGCGTCAGAAGCGACTGACGTTTCGGAAAACTTAACCAGTTGTCCTTCGTTTCACAAAAGTAACTCTCCGGCTTCTAAGTTGCCGCAGAGGGTGGTTAGTGATAAGATGTCACAAAGGAGTAGACGATCACCTAGTTCTGACGCTAGCACGAGTTCTTCGTCAGCCAGTGAAGAAGAGAAGAAAAATGATTTGAAGGTGACTTCGTCTCGGACTTCTATCGCTGTGTCTTCGGCCGATGAATTGTCGGTTGATAAATCGCCAAAGCCGCCACCAAGTCCTAGAGTTAAGTCGGAAGCTGAAGCCAAGTCGTTTTTGATGCGTGCTTTAGCTCCGGTCACCAACTTGTTCAAGACAAACAAGATCTCCGGTAAGTTTTTTTCCGTCCAAGATATTCTTCTAACTAAGTACACATTTTCAGATAATAATGACAAGGTTAACTGGATGGACTCCCCTTCCGAGAGTCTTCCAAACGCGGCAACTCCGCCACTCGACAAATCCAAATCCGACCAGAAACCAACCAAACACTTCAAGAAGTCTGAATCCGGCGAACGCGCATGGTGGCTCGACGACACTTCGGCTTCCACTTCGCTACCTTTAGACTCAGAAAAGAGCCTCAAACTCAAACCTAAGTTACTCTTGCGTCACGTCGAGTCCGGAGAGCTACCTTGGTGGTTAGACAAAGCCGCCGAAGTCCCCGAAGGCGTCGAAACCTTCCCCGAAGAAGCCAAAATCAAGATCTTCCGTTTGGAAAGCAGCGACAGCGCCGAGACTAACAACATCATGGACCCTGAGTACTTGGAACGCCACAAAATCAGACATATAGACTCTGGTGAGAGGTCCTGGTGGCTTACCAGCTCCGAGAACATTCCTGAGATGGTCCAAGCTCAGGAAACTAAAACCGAGAAGCCTAAATATGCGATTAGGCATCAAGAGTCGGGTGATAAGGCGTGGTGGTTGAAGTCGAATAGTCATTCTGAAGATCATGAGTTTGACGCGACGCATGCTCCTTTGGGGGATCGGGCGAGTCCGGAGGGGGTTGAAATGCCGAAGGAGAGTGAGCAAGGGAGGTTAAGTCCGTACGATAATGTGCCTGTGCAAAGCAGGAGTGAGAGTAAGGGGAAGAAATTGGAGAAGTTGTTTATTTCGAAGCATTGTGATATTGATGAGATTTTGGGAGGGTGCGGACCTATGTGGAGTCCTTTAATGGAGAAGATTTTTGAATATAAGGATAAAGGTGGGGATGATAAGTGCATGGAGGTTGATGCCAAGGAGGTGAGAATACACGACAGCACGGCCCAGAGGGGGGTGATCCAACCCAATAGGATGTAAGTATTTTAAACTGTGGGTATGTCAAAAAAAATGTAAGATAATATAAAATTTGAAGTTGAGTTAACTCGTACTAAGAATGGAAAGTAGGTGTTAATTATTATTGACATTTACGCTATAAACTATAGTTAGTTGGAGATAAGCATCTAAAGCAATAAGTTTATAATCGATTCGTAAAAAGTGATAGTAATTACTGACAAAAATTCTTAATTAGAAATCATTTGTTCGATTATAAATATAATCGCTTCATCTCATAAATAATATAGTGTTGATCGAAGTAATAATTAACATTGCGTAAGTAAAATTAAAACTACTTGTAAATACAAGGCTATTTCGCTACACCGGTAGCTACATTTTCAAATACAAAATCGATCCAGTTTTAAAAATATTTTAAACAATAAATTACTAAACACGCCGCATGTCAATAACGTAATTATGTAACAAATACTTTGCATTCTACTGGATTTAATAAGAAAATGGTTTTACTCATTTTACTTTTCCAATTGATGTAATAAATAATGTGCAATGGATCTTAGCCAATAATGGTGAAACAATGAACAATAAACTCCTATAACTTTGATTGCTAATAATAAATTGTTTATCTTCATCAAATAAAAAAGCAAAAAAGCGTTAGCCAAGATCGTCGGATCAGCTTGTCCGCATTTTTGATTGCTTTTTGCGAAGTCAACACGCTATTTTATTCGAATGGGTGACCAAAAAAACATAATGGCCGTCGTACAAGCGCTTGCAAAAATTTCGGAAAATAAAAAACCGAAAAATCCGGAACATTCCAAAACCGGATTTTTTTCATGTTCGCTAAAACAACTCGACGAATGCAACTGTACCATGATTGCGGAATACGACAGCTGATAAAAAACGCCACGTCTCGCCCATTAAACCATTGAAAAACTACGACACTCGTTAAGATATTCACTACTTTGCATAATAAAAACCGTTCCCGAGCGAAATGGAAAGTTATGTTCTCGAGTTCCCGTCTCAATAATTTTTTCACGTTGACAGTATTTACGCACATGCCAACAAATTAATTCCAATTAGATATTCGCCGGAAAAACGGCCGCCGTAAATAATATTCGACGTTCCCATGCCATTAATTCCTGGTCGCCGGTTCGAATGAAACGCACTTAATGACACTCAAATGTATGTTCCGTTCCAGTGACAACATCGGTGGTTTCCCGAAGACTTTTTCGCCGTACGGAAAGGTAGGCAATTTGTTGTTTAATGACCCCTCGCCATTTGCATTTTAATCGCCTTATGAGCGCACATAACGCAACGGAAAAATCTCGACTTTATGAATAATCATCCGTGACGTCCATTCAGCTGACTTTTTCATCATCAGACTCTTCGATAACGTAATATTTAATGGCATAATGGCTGATTTACGCCGTGTCGTAAAACTGCATTTACGTTGTGTTACCGTTATCTATCAGCCTTTTTTTATTATGAATTTATTGGGTCTCAGAGGATGTAAGTTGACTGGGCAGGATGGCAGTAGTGGGATGCACTTGCTACCACAAAGCCAATTTAGTGTACTTAGTATTCAAATTTTACAAATATTTTTTAAGGTTAAATGTAAATTTATTTTTGTGCAACCAGAACAAAAGGACTACTGATTTATCGGTTACTGAAAGGTAGGTAAACAAAACATTGTCTATGCTGCTTCACTTTACCGGGGCGTACGAAATAAACTCATTTCCTACGAGCCACCTAGTTTCTACCACTAGAATAATGGCAGCGATACAGTTTACAAATCAACGTGCCAATTAATTACAGGAAATAATTATTACCGCATCCGTACGAAATAGGCTCATTTCCACCGAGTTACCCCGTTTCTAGGACCGAAATAAAAGTAAAATATCCATCTGCCGTAGGGACACAGTTTACAATAAACAGTTCTACAATTATAATTAATTAACATAAATCAGTGTATCAGTTAATAATGGGAAATAATTATTACGGTATCTACAAAATATTTCGATTCTTTTGTTGTCGTTTTGTGATTAATTCTCATTAAATGTCTATAATTAACCACAATTATTCCGTCATTAATTAATTTTTAAGTGTAATTTGTTGTGTATAAATCTAATCAAATAGGGGAGTCTTCACAATCAATTGCTATTGAGTATTAATATTAATTATTGTTAATACTTTATCAATTATGTGTAATTAATACGGATTAATTAATTTGTCAAAGTACTATTCATGACGCTGAATTACGTAAATCAAAAACCAACCATTTAGTTATAGTGAACCAAGACCTATAAGGTTATATGGCCATCATAAAAGTAGTTGACCGCAAATAAATATATTAACTGTGGTTGTTTCTACAGGTGTCCCAAAAGCCTGGTTTCAAATATACAGAGTGTTCAATTTGAAAGTTGCAGACCAACATCGTAATTTATGGAACATTCCATGTATTTTCCAAATTTAACTAGTTTTTACTCAAAATGGAAAATAACGATAAAAATTCTCCATCATTTTTAAAGATGCAACTTTGGAATTTTACTTAAAACTTTTTAATCACCTTGCCTTAATACACGTGTAAGAATCGAACAAGGTTTAAACTTATTTATACGGAGTGATTTTCACAAATTGTCGGTTTTCTCACCTTTTCCAAATGGAACGTGTTTTTCACCCGTTTGTTGAGGTTTGTTGATCGTAAACATAATTCCAAAAAAACTATTAGAATGAACCTCAACAAATTTGGTATCAAAATATCTTAGAGAAAAATTCGAAAATGTTAGAAAATAATTTTGAATAATACAATAACTTTTGAATTTTTCAGTCGTATGATTTTATCGTTTTTAGTTTTGCAGTTTTTAGATTAATTTTTTTTTAAGTTTGTGATTTTTAATTGAGGGTATGTATCTACTGATTTCGACAATGACAACAAAGCACATCGGTGTCATTCGAATTACAGTTAGCTGGATTTGTCAATTTCTAGATTGTTATTCAGTTTTTGGATTTTCCAGTTTCTCGGTTTTAATATTCCGATTTTCATATTTTCCATTTGTGAATTTTTGTTTCTTAAATTTTTCGACGTTACAGTTTTCCGATTTTAGCGTTTTAAGTTTTCAATCTTTAATTTTTCAATTTTAGAATTTCTGGAATTTTTTATTTTTTGTAGATAATTCAATTTCTCACTTCCGCAATTATTCACTTTGTAGATATTTTAATTTTTTTTTTTTCAATTAATCGAAATATCAATTTTTAATTTAGCTTTTCAATTTTTCAAGTTCTCAAATTTTTACTGTTTTATTTTCCCAGATTCTAATTTTTAATGTAAATAATTCAAAAAGAACAAATTTGTTAAGACTGAAATTTTAACGATTTTACAATTTTTGGATTTTTCAATTTCTTTATTTAAATTTTTTTCAACTAATAATTTTTTAATTGCTTTCACCGCTTTTATTTATATTGCATTTTTTTAATACCAGCCATATAAAATTCTTTAGTTTCCCGATTTTGCAATTTCTCGATTTTCCGATTTTTGTTCGATTTTACAATTTTTCGATTTGCAATTTTTCGAATTTGTTCTAAGTTTCTCATGGTTTGTATAACTTATATACTCTTGAATTTCTCAATTTTTCGATTTTTCTTTTTCAATTTTTTAATTGTACAATGTTTTGTTTTGCAAGGTTTTAGAGTTGTCAATTTTAAGTTTTTCAATGTTGATCTATCGTCCGATTTTTTTCAATTTTTTAATTTACAGCTTTTCGATTTACAGTTAGCTGGATTTGTCAATTTCTAGATTGTTTCTCAGTTTTTGGATTTTCCAGTTTCTCCATTTTTAATATTCCGATTTTCATATTTTCCATTTGTACATTTTTGTTTCTTCAATTTTTCGACTTTACAGTTTTCCGATTTTAGCTTTTTAAGTTTTCAATCTTTAATTTTTCAATTTTAGAATTTTTGGAATTTTTTATTTTTTGTAGATAATTCAATTTTTCACTTCCTCAATTATTCAATTTGTAGATATTTTAATTTTCCCTCATTTCAATTAATCGAAATTTCAATTTTTAGTTTAGCTTTTCAATTTTTCAAGTTCTCAAATTTTTACTATTTTATTTTCCCAGATTCTCATTTTTAATGTAAATAATTCAAAAAGCACAAATTTGTTAAGACTGAAATTTTAACGATTTTGCAGTTTTTGGATTTTTCAATTTCTTTATTTAAATTTTTTTCAACTAATAATTTTTTAATTGCTTTCACCGCGTTTATTTATATTGTCTTGACTGAGCATTTTTTTAATAGCACCCATATAAAGTTCTTTAGTTTCCCGATTTTGCAATTTCTTGATTTTCCGATTTTTGTTAGATTTTACAATTTTTCGATTTGCAATTTTTCGAATTTGTTTTAAGTTTTTTATGGTTTGTATAACTTATCTACTCTTGAATTTCTCAGTTCTTCGATTTTTCTTTTTCAATTTTTTTAATTGTACAATGTTTTGATTTGCAAATTTTTAGAGTTTTCAATGTTAAGTTTTTCAATGTTGATTTATCGTCGTTCGATTTTTTTCACTTTTTTAATTTACAGCTTTTCGATTTACAGTCAATTTCTAGATTGTTATTCAGTTTTTGGATTTTCCAGTTTCTCGATTTTTAATATTCCGATTTTCATATTTTCCATTTGTGAATTTTTGTTTCTTCAATTTTTCGACTTTACAGTTTTCCGATTATAGCTTTTTAAGTTTTCAATCTTCAATTTTTCAATTTTAGAATTTTTGGATTTTTTTTTTTTTTTTGTAGATATTTCAATTTTCCACTTCCTCAATTATTCAATTTGTAGATATTTTAATTTTTCCTCATTTCAATTAATCGAAATTTCAATTTGTAATTTAGCTTTTCAATTTTTCAAGTTCTCCTCAAATTTTTACTGTTTTATTTTCCCAGATTCTAATTTTTAATGTAAATAATTCAAAAAGCACAAATTTGTTAAGACTGAAATTTTAACGATTTTACAGTTTTTGGATTTTTCAATTTCTTTATTTAAATTTTTTTCAACTAATTATTTTTTAATTGCTTTCACCGCGTTTATTTATATTGTCTTGACTAAGCATTTTTTTAATAGTACCCATATAAAATTCTTTAGTTTCCCGATGTTGCAATTTCTCGATTTTCCGATTTTTGTTAGATTTTACAATTTTTCGAATTTGTTTTAAGTAAATTTTCGTTCTTTTAGATTTTCGATCTGCAATTTTTCGTTTCTCGGATATGTCGATTTTTTAAGTTTCTGGTTTTTCAATTTTTCGTTTCTTCGGTTTTTCGGTTTTTTAGTTCGTATATATTTTAATTTTCCTTTATTTGAATTAAGCGACAATTCAAACTTTCATGTCTTCAATTATTTTATTTCACTTTTTCTAGTTTTCAATTTTTAGTCTTTTCAAATTTTAGTTTTTAATTACTCAAGTTTTCATTTTTGCATTTTTAAATTTTGGACAAAAAGAACAAGTTTATTCAAACTGAAATTTTGAAAAACTATAAGACAGGAATTTTTTTCATTTTGCTCTTATATTTTCGATGTGTTTCTTCGAAAAATGGAAATATCCAAAACAAAAAATCAACAAGCGAAAAGATGAAAAAATAAAATATCGAAAAATTGAGAAATTGAGAAATTCAAAAATAATAATAGAAAGACCCAATCTAAAAGGTGGAGCAACGAAATATTGAAAAATCGAAAAATCCCAAAGTGTAATGAAAAAATTTAAACTGGAAACAAAAAAAATTCAAATACAGAAAAATTAAAGTGGAAAATCAAAATATTGGAGAAAAGAAAAAATCGAGGAACAGAAAATTCGATACACTGAAAAAACTGAAAAAGTAAAAATCCGAACATTGAAAACTCAAAAAGTTGCTAATCGAAAAATGGATTTATTGAAAAATTTGAAGAATTGCATTAGGGACAGCCTACACATTAAACGACATCAGTTTTGTGTACACTACAGAGGCAGGATGTGATTAAATTTTTGTATACAGGGTGTTTATAAAAATGTTTTAATTATTACAATTTTCAAATATGGATATTTCAGTTTTTTCAAATATAACACCCTATATTTTATTACTGCATCTTAATCCATTTTTCTTTCTATTTTTTTTTTTGCTGAGTATTTTTTATACCTTAATTTGATAATCACTGCAATTTTTTACTTTTTTAAGAGACACATTGACAACTGACTTTAGAAGAATGAGGACAAATAAGAGAG